TGAGAAAACAGAATTGAAAGCAATAGTTAAATGTAAAAAATGACCAAGTAATGGGGGAGTGGAGGATGAGAGGAACCAACCAAAGACCTTGTATGCATATACACATAACCCATGGACTCAGACAACAGGAAGGTGAGAGAGGCCTGGGATGGGGGGACAAAGGGAGCATACGTAATACTTTCAACAGTAAAGAATTATTTTTAAAAAATTACCAAGTGAAATTATTCAAATGATGATTAAGATATTGCTTAAAATGTGAAAATTGATTTTGCTTATTTTGGCACTTCTTCAAATCAAATAATTTTAATGTGAACTATAAAGCAATTATAAATGCAAATTATACAAAAGATAATTTTCTCAAAAAAATCAGATCTAGGAAAAATAAATTATGCCGAACAGATAAGTACTTGAAAATGTCTTGACTATTAAACTACTATTTTATAAATTCAGTCTCAGAACAGAAAGATGTGATATGAAGATTTTCCAAGTTAGGAGTTTAGTGAAATAATGTAATATTTTTGTATCTAGAGATCTTTTTAAATTTTTATATAATTTAATATTAATATGCTAATTAAATTATGTATTGCCAAACATTTCAGAGACACTAAAACTAAAGTAACATAACTAATCCTAAAAATTTATAATTTCTTTCCTGATACATATGGATACTCTAAACTAAGTATATAACATATGGATACTCTAAATTAAGTATATAATAATAATACAATTTCTTGGCATACTATGGTCTTTATTCAAAGTTGTGTTATATTAACAAACAATTAACAAAACTCGCCAGGACATAAAGGAATCAGGACTCAACTCCTGATTTTATTACATTAACCGCATTGCAAAATACAAACAATGGATAACGGTAAAATATTAAAAAATGGATATGTGTAATGCTGTTTCCTAAAATAAATTGTTCCAATTCATAGGTGTAAATTATTAAAACATAAACATGACACAGCCACGATTCTCTCCGTCCTACAATGGCCTTCCATTTTATAGCCCTACACTAATGATTAGGAATGCTTTCTGCAATAAAGTAAAATGCAGAGTAATATCAACCATCAACAAATTATTGTTGAAAATGTGTTAATATTTATATCCGAGTATGTGTACAAGGCAAACTTCATCCTTTCAAGCACAACTACTTAGAAAAGGGAACCAGGTACGGATCAGCCCCCTTGCCACTTCTCCGCTACCTTCTCTCAACTTCAGGAAAATGGTAACTTGGTTGGATATGATAAATTTCAGATTCCCACAAGATATTCAGGGAGAAATGTCTTGTGGGCAATTGGACATATAATAACTAGCGTTTACTCAGGATAACGCTAGACTTGCACATACATTATTTCATTTAATCCCTCTGGAACTCAAAGGGATATGTGCCCAGTGGCAGAAGCAGGATTCAAGCAGAGCTCCTAACCAGCAGTTCTAATATTCCCATTCAGCCTCCAGGGGGCTGGCACCTAGCAAAAAGACCCAAGGTAAGAATACAGATTCGCAAGCTGATCTTTTAGCCATGCATTTATTCAGCAGAAATGTATTAGGTTCCCAATGTTGGGACTAAGGATACCAAGGAAACAAAGTCACATTTTCTATCCTTAGAAAACCATGCCACAGACAGACAAGAAAACCAACAAAACAAAACCACGATGGCATGGCAGTGCTAACAGAACTCATTAAGAGGAGGAACACTAACCCAAAAAGGAGAGAGGAGTCAATCCCACAGTGGAGGAGGGGGAGTCTTGAGGAAGGTTCTAAGAGAGGAAGACAATGATTTTGTCTTGACCACGATTTTGAAGGATGAGCTTTAAAAAAGAATCCGCCAAGTGTACAGAGGAAGAAGAAGGAGGCCACTCCACAAACAGGCAGCGGATACGCAGAAGCGCCAATGCCTCCGACAGCAGTCCACTCGAAGAGATGCCCACTGACCAACAGCATCCTTCCGGTCTCCACCCGCCCTCTGCTCCTCCAGATGCTGAACCACAAGACAGGGAGATGCAGTTTCCCGCTCTCTGGGTGTCACTTTTCAAAGAGAAGATCTGTTCCTCCCGCCACGCCCTGCCAATCAGGAGCAGAGACACCTGTTGAAAACAGCTCCTCAACCCTGTTGCTATGAACCACCTCACCCAGCCTTCTGTTTCCTTGGTAACGTGTATTATACCTACAACTAACTTGTCTAGCATCCTTTTCCTTGTTTATTGCCTGTCTCCCCCATGAGACGTAAGCTCTGGGAGGCATCTCCCTCAGCGCTGCATCCACAGCGTGCCTGGCCCGGGGAAGACACCTTGGCTGCTGGTGACTGAATGTTGTGTTAGCTTTCCCAACATTTATTTCTAAAATTAAAATAAAAAACAAATCAAGGTAACATTTCATTCTATAAAACACGCGTTTTCCTCCATATTTCACCGTATTTTCATGTCCCCAAAGAAATTTTCTAATGCTCTAAATAGCAACCCTAAGCCCCAGTTTTTTCACTGCGGAATATGTTTGAAACAAAACAAGTCTCCAAGATTAACAGCTCTAAAGTTTACCTCTGCTCTATTTCTACCCAGATATTTCATTACAGTATCTTTAGAGCAAAGAGAATAAGCTAAACAAGCTAGCAATTCTGGGTCAAGTGTTATACCAACTACAAGCTGATGTTGTTTCACTGAAACACACATAAGGAAAAATGAAAGTATTCCATGTTTAAGGGAAAAGTCCAAGCCCTGCTCATAAAACAAAATAATATCTACGGTAGAAAGAAAAACGTGACTAATTAATTAGAAACCAGATGACACATGATTATCTGTAAAAAGTCACCATTATTGATTTCAGAGAGAGAGGGAGAGGAAGAGCGAAACATCGATGAGAGAGCATCACTGACTGGCTACCTCCTGCCTGGCCCACACTGGGGATGGAGCCCGCAACCAGGGCATGTGCCTGACCTGGGATTGAACCATGACCTCCTGGTTCATAGGTTGATGCTCTACCACTGAGCAACACCGGCTGGGCTAGCTACCAATTGTTAGACTCAGCATCACTGACAACAGTGAAGGCACAGAGATCCGCCTTGCCGACACTGCAGGCACATAGCATGTCTGGGAAGGTAGCATCTGGGGCTCTCTTTCTCCAACTGACCCTTTCACTTCTGGGTTCTCTGAGCCCCACCTCTACTTTCCGAACCCTGGTTTCAGGCTCCTTTTGTCACAGATGGGACGGTCTTTCTCTGGCATTTTAGGTTCGAGGAGCTAGAGTGCCACAAGCTTAGCGATGCCATCCCTAGCCTGATTAAAGCTTTTGAACAAATAGATCAGGATTCAAGAGGGAACTTCACAAGTTCAAATATTTAACAATTACTGTTACTATGACTATTTCCAGACTAATAAAGGTTCAAATAAGACCTAACTGTTCAATACAAATGCAAAGTAAAATTACACAGTGAATCCGCTCTAACCCTTTGTATATGGGAGTTATAAGAAGCAACCTTTATACCCCTTTGGGGATAAATTTATTTTCTGAATCCAAGTGTTCACACCAATAAGTAGATTTACATGTAATCCCTAAAAGCAGATAGGCAGAAATCACCAACCATGCTATATAACCTTTAAACTGAGTATTTTATTTAATCATATTTGTATAATTGGGTGATGTAAAGGGTGCAATTTTTTTAAATAAGAGATATATTTGTCCCTGATATTCTAAAGCAAACTTTCCATGACTGTATATTAAAACAAATGTTTGGGGTTTTTTTAGTATCTTTTTTCCAAGAGTAGTCAATGGAAGTGATCAAATACCTATGCAGTCAATACTGCCATATCTTGAAAATATTTTGTACCCTTTATCTGAGAACATTTTCAATGTCAGTTTATAAGTTATATCCGTTATATGTACAGATAGACATTACAGTAAGAAAACACCCATGTACTCACAGGCCAAACACAGAACAATGAATAGGCTATATCTGGTAAGATTCGATTTGTTTGTATTACTGCTCCCTGGTGGCCCAGCAACCCAGACAGCATTCTCTGTCCTGGATTCCGATGGCTTTTCTTTAGAAATAACAAATCAAGACTTAAAGACAGAATTTCTATTATTACAAATCATGATAGCTGCTTTGTGGTGGTGAATTTGCATTGCCATGTTATCAATACCATAAAAGGTATGTGCCCTTTAGAAAAATGGATCCCTTTATCTAATCATTAGATTTTAAAAATAAAACTTAACATTCTTTCACACAAACAAAATGAAGGGGCAATACACAAGGTCTCAACTGGTCAGAGCAAAATGAAAGAGCATAAAATCAATAAGGAGATACATCTCATAATTGACTGTTATATTTATGATAAATTTTAATCAAGTGAAATTAAAAGGATTACCATTTAAAATGAAAAAGCAGGAAACAAAAAATATACAGACTCAAAGAATCAAATACTCCAAACTTGTTTTCACCAGTCAGTAATATTCCAGTTTATCAAGTACTGCCTGACACCTGCATGATTTCCAACTTGGTTGACAAATCAGGAGGTAACTCTGTGCTTTTAGGCTCAGCACAGCTCAGCTACCTCTCAATGCACCCCTTTTCATTTTTTTTCTACAACCCATAAGAGAGAAGCAAAAATAAGAGAAAAACCAAAAAACACCCTTCATAAATGCACCAGCCCAACATAAGTAAGCACCAACAACATTCTGATGTATTAAAATGGTCACTTCTAAAGCTTTGTTTCTTTAAGACAAACGAAAGCCCAGCCTTTTTTTATTCTGCCTCTTCCTTCTACTTCTCTCCTAAACATGTCAGAACTGGATGACGCTGATAAGCATTAGGCCTTCCCCATGAAAACACTTCTGGAGGGGCTGCACCCAGGGGTGGTCTTGAGCAGAATCCGATCAGCACCCTGGGGAGAAGCGCCCCACTCCTGCACCTGTACCCCGCCCCCGGAGCTGGCTGGAGAGCTGGGATCGCCATGGAAACCGTTTCCACGGCGCCATGCCTCCTGCAAAACATCACTTACTGTGCCGGGCACGTGACTTCGCTCCTTCTTCCCGTTCTGGGAGCTGCCGTTCTTGAGTTTCTTTTTTTTCTTGGCCGTTTCTTTGTGCTCCTTCTGTTTGTTCTGCACTTCAATGAGGACAGAAATGAAGCTGTTCTTCACCTCCTTTTCAAACTCCAGTTCATCTCGCAGGGCCAACTGCTGCACCAGCTCTTCCGAGTATTCCTTAATGGCGGTCTCAATTTCCTCCAGGAGTTCGCTGAGCTCAGACACCGGGAGCCTTTTCACCCCTGTGGCCAAAGGAAGCACAGCAGACGCTGAGGCACCGATGTTTCCGGCGGGCACAGCAGTGCTTCATGCCCAGGGGCGATGCCACATTCTAGCCCGCGGGCCATACGAGGTCCACAAAGTCATTGCTTCAATAACCCCTGCCTAGGCCTTCGGGGTGAGTTAATTAAATGTCTGACCAAACACAGCAGGCTATAGGTTAAGCTGATAATTCTGTATGACCCGAGAACGATGTTATAAATATCCAAATGGCCTTTGGCAGAAAAAAGGTTCCCCACCCATCTTAAACAATTAACTTGTTCGTGATCTCAGAATCCTCAAACTTCTGGTGGGCACGTATAACGTGGAAGTAGGTGGGCAAAGTTACTTCTCAAAGGGCTGAGAAGAAACTTTTTTACTTGTCTAAATCCATCATTAATCAAGACTGAAAAAACTGTTCGAAGGAAAGAACGAGCACAGGGAAAAGCCGACGGAGTGCAGAAACTGCCTGCTGACAAGAAACCGCCAGCAGGTTCGCAGGGTTCCAGCGCGATTCTGGAGAGAGACGCCCGTGGGAAAGTTAAACTGATTGCATGTTTAATCACACAGGCCCCAGTGTGTGCGTGTTACTGAGTACTGCGAAGACGGAAGGAAGAATATGCACTGGAACCCCATGTGAGTTTTTCTCGGCCATCCCTCATGTGAGAGATGTCGTCGAGCAAGTCCTAACCTCCAGCACCTCTCAGACTGTGACTGTTCTGGAGGAGGGTCCTCAGGGAGAATTAACTGAAAATGAGGTCCTGAGGGTGGGCCTCATCCAGCGGGACCGATGCCCTTATGAATGGAGCCTAAGAGATGCTCACAGAGCAAGGCCGGGAGGGGACAGAGAGAGACAGCCTCTGCAGGCCCAGGAGAGGCTCAGCGGGGGCCCACCCCGCTGACGCCCTGAGCTGGGACTTCCAGCAGCCAGAACGGCGAGGACGCCAATGTCCATTGTCTCAGCCTCCCAGCAGCCCGAGCTGAGTGACACAGGACTCAAAGGTGACCGTGACCTAGTCCCTGGTCAAAACATGCCCGAGCATTAGTGGAAAGCGGAGAAGGCCAAGCCACCCAGCCTTGAGCATCAAAGACTGCCGGGGACAGCCACAGCACGTGTGAGATGTACAGAAAAGCACAAAGAGCACCGAGTTAAGGAGGGTCTCTTACTCTCTTCGTAGCTGCTTGTGCTGGACCTCTTGAGAGTCTGAATCTCCTGGGAGAGCATGGACAGCCGATCGGACTGTGTGAGCGCTTCATCGTCTTCCGGGTCAGGTGACTCCTGCATCATCTCTTCGATTTCTTCAATAACCTTCCAAAATACACACGCCACCGTTAATCGTATACACGGACAGCGCACGGGAGGCCCCCTGAGCAGAGGAGCACTGACTCCTCCACTGACCAACCGTGCGCAGGAGAGGGCGCTCTCGGTAACCACGTTGGGTTGTAAGGATGAACACGGTTCACCCACAAAAGTACCACGTGCTGAGCACACACAGGTAGGATGTGACTGACGGTGCCCATCGCGAGTCGGGAGGCCCGGCCAGACCTTGCCATGTCTGGGAGCTGGTGCTGCACACACATGCACCACTCACTTCAGACATGCCGGAAGCAGATCCCAGTGACGGTCAAACAGAAGGAAAGGACAGAAAAGTCATCGCCTACCACAAGCAAGTGCTCAACCTAAAGCCATTTCATCAAGTTGACATACAACTTAGACAATACAACCGTATAAGAAAGTTACATATAAAGCCAGAAATTACCTCTGTAAGCAGCAAAATTCTCCTCTAACATTAGCAGGGAAAAAATTTCATATATTAATTCAATGGAAGGTGAAGGGATATAAAGTTACTTAAAATGCAAAAGATTAAAGAGAATAGAGAAAGCTACACAGAAGCAGAAAATTTTCAGAAATGTATCTGCCTTGCTGGGTAGGCATGGCTCAGTGACTGAACATTGACCTATGAACCATGAGGTCACAGTTTGATTCCTGGTCAGGGCACATGCCTGGAGGCAACTGATCAATGAGTCTCATCATTTTACGTCTATCTCTCTTCTCTCCCTTCCTCTCTCTGAAATCAATAAAAGTATATTTTTAAAAGAAATATTATCTGTCTTAATTTAAGCAATTGCCTGCTGTCATAAGCAATGTTGTTCAAAGTTTACAACAGCATCTTCTCCTGTTCCAGATTTTAAAGTTGAGAAAGAGATAGAACTCAAGAGAAAAATGTAAATAAATAAATAAATAAATAAATCACTCGTTAGAAGAAAAAAAAGACCTAAGAATTTAAAATAAAACATTAGAAAAAATACAATGTGAATCAACATGTAACACTTATAATAAGGAAGCACAAAAGTAAACCTGAAGGAGGTGGGAAGTATGTCAATTAGCAAGAATATTTTCCAAAAATGGGCACTGAAAACAGTGAGGAGGCACTGAGCGAGGCTATGCAATCTGCTTCTCTAACTCTTAAAAGCAGGAAAAGCCTGGGCATGCAGAAAGATGCCTGAGGAGTCAATGATTCTCGGGGTCACGTTTCCCTGGAATATCTCACACAACCCCACTCAGCTCTCTAACCGATTCCTTTTTAAACACTTCACTCTCTCCCCGGGCCTAGAACAATCCAACCACAGATATGGCTAAGGAGCATCAAAATGACACATTTTTAATGACTCCCAACCTGAACATAACATATCTATCTCTTGCCTGACCTTGCTTTCCCGGCCTAACAATACAGTGTGACAGAAGTCACGTCCAAGTGACCATGGGACGTTTGTTTCGGGAAGAAGTTTTTGCATGGCATTTCACAACACAAAGGAAGTGGGAAGAGTATTCGGAGAATGAGAGAGCTGATTCGACTGGTTCTAAACGAAAACAGGGCTGACATTATAGCGCATTCCATCGGCATAATGCCCACTTCTCTCCGGAGCACACAACATGTCCACCAAGCGATAACAGATACATTATCAATTACCTATACAATGTAGGCTAGATCTAACGAAAAAAGAAAATTGCAATATTTTTTGCGATTTCGGTATAAGCAATAACCCTCCCTTAGTAACTCGCTGTCCTGTTTTAACAATGCTTAGGGTGGAAAATTGCCTATGTTGGAAAAATCTTCCAACTCCCAGAATCCCACCTGCTTCGGAGTCGGGGGAGGAGCCAATATTAAGCTACATAAGCAGAAAATACAGGAAAAACAAGTCAGTTCCCACAAGCCATCACCTGTGGCCACAGTAACAAACCCTGTTCCAGCTCAGGGCTCCCGCTCCCTTCGCTGGAACCTCTCCTCGGTACCTGGTCCGCAGTGAAGAGGGGCTCGTCGTTCACACAGGAGACGATGATCGAGTGCATGTCCAGCTGTTCTCTCAACTCCTCCTCGTCCGATGGATCCAAGAGCAGGCTGTCACTTACCTAAAAGCAGAAGAACGCCCGGTGAGAGGCCAGACCGCTGGGTCTGGGCAAAGACGACAGCAGAGGAAGCATCAGCTGAGAACGCCCCCTCCAGAGGCGTTCCAACCTGAACATAACATATCTATCTCTTGCCTGACCTTGCTTTCCCGGCCTAACAATACAGTGTGACAGAAGTCACGTCCAAGTGGCCATGGAACATTTGTTTCGGGAAGAAGTTTTTGCATGGCATTTCACAACACAAAGGAGGTGGGAAGAGTATTCGGAGAATACTAGGGAGAAATGATCACAGCTGCTCTGTGCCAGGCGGCAAGTGGAGAGCTTTACACATTCCCCTCCAATGCAAGTGAGCCACCCGGAATAAGGAACTATAAAACTGCTAAGGGCTGCAAGCATCCATGGTGCCCGTCACAGACACACACTCAGCTGTTTTCCCCAGGAGAGAGGTTGCTACCAAAGCTGGCTGATGAGTACAAAAAGAGGGACAGGGCATTAGCTAGAAGCTGCAGAGAATGACGATGACAGCAAATGCGGAGTAGAGAGCAAGAGTTATTTAGTTAACAGCCTCAGAGTAAGATGGGTATACATTAGCATTCCACAGAAAACCTCGTTACTTGCAAACTAACTTCCAGCATCCAGAGGAAAGCCTGGGTGATCAGCTCCCTGGCAGACAGGAACTGCCCGTGAGGATCGCACTTGGCCCTGTCAGCCGCGCATCTCTTCTTCCAAATAACAAAGAGGATCTCTGGGTCCCAAAACATGTTTACACCTGACTGTGTTGGAGGCTGCCCCACCTCCATTCTCCACGCCGCTCTGTGCCCCAGGAGGCTGACCTTCATGGACTGCATCAGAGGATGCCCGTGACCTCAGGCTTCCGGGGGTTACAGACCGCTGGCAGACACCAAGGAGACTGAGGGTGGGGAGATGAGGGCGGGGCATTCAGAATGCTGACTCCCTCGCTGCCAGACCAAGGCCGCAGCTCCTGTCAAGCAGTTCTCTCTCCAGCGTCTGGTAACTCCTCTCCCTCTTGAACTCTTCATGCCAGATGGGGCCAGGATGCTTGCTATTGGCAGCCTGGGGCATCACACCAGGCCTCGTTGGTGTCCCTTAACCCTGTCCGTACCAAAAGAAACAGCCCCTTTTCTAATGACTTAAGGGTTTAGTACTGGTAGTCATTGTAAAGACCTCGCCTGGAAAACTCAGCAGGTTAAAATGCACACGTGATCATCTACCTGTCACCAAGGTAACATGACTGTTCAGGTGAGGAGAGACCCAAAATTAGAACTCCGTTCTTCAAGGAGTGGCGCACACTGAGTTCCCAAAGAGCAAATGGCAGCAATGAGCTACGTAAGAAGCCACCATGTGTTTCTATCGGATGGCACATAATTCTAAAAACAGCACTTTACCTGGGAAGGTTCTTTTATTTACTAGTGCAGAGAATACACATAAAATAGAGGATACAACTGAATACTGTAGCTCCCTCCTTCCTCCCCAGTTCCTCGTACAGAATTGTGGGAAGTTTCATGGTGAACGAGGCCCACAGAGTAAGAAACCTGCACGTGAGGCACGCGAAGAGACACAGGTGTGCTGCCCTTCAGAAGCTGAGGCTGGAGAGCAGCCGTCAGCACTCCAGGCTCTACCTCCTCCCGCAGACGGCAGCTCCACGCCGGCCCACAGGGAGGGCACACCTGCTCATTCTGTTTCTCGGTGCCCCGTCAGCCTAGGAGGCCTGGCCTCGGCCTTCTGCATGTCACTGGGAAGTTTCAGAACACTGCGTGAGAGAAAGAACCTCAAAGCTTCCAGCGGGGAAAATCTGTCACATTAAAAGGACCAGGTAGCAAATGTCACTTCAATTCTCAACAGCAACAACAGAAGCTAGAAAACAATGAATATAATTTTTGCATTTCAATTAATTCCACCCTAGAATCCCAGCTAAACAACTAGGTTGAGGATTTAGAATAAAGACATTTTCAGACATTCAAGTTCTCAAAAAAATGACTTCCCGTGTATGTACCTTTTCTCGGAAAGCTACTGCAGAATATGCTCCATTAAAACTAGGAGGGAAACCAAAATACATGAAAGAGGTGAGAGGAATTCTTGTAATGATAGTGAAGATCCCAGAATGATGGCTGTGAAGTTAAACCAGAGTAAGTAGTTCAGATTGGAATTGTTAACTGCTTAGGGCATCAAGAAAAGCATTAAGAAAAAAGAGAGAGGAGAGAGAGACCTATTGATTATCTAGTGTATTTCAATTACTAAAATTAGTTTTATGGCTTTGTTGAGGCTGAATTAGTTAGCTACTGATAACCTAAATAAATCACAAAAAAGCCAATTAAAGTTACCCTAAGGAAAAAAAAATTACAAATGAAAATTTAATCATAATGTTGAGTAAAATGGGTCACCTGTAAATATTTAAATAATCAATATAAATGGCAATTAGTTTAACCCAATGTTTTTATATAAATATATTGGGAAGATAGGGGAAAGGTAAATTTTTATGAGGACTATGGTGTTGGGGTTAGAGAGAGGACCATGAGAGAGCTAAACCCTCATCCTCTGGGAATTGAAAAGTCAAAAAAAATGAGTATGTTATCTGTTAGAAAAAAATAAGTGAAGCAGCTGAAAGTGGTCGCCTCTGGCAAGTGGGAACCAAATCTGGGGTAAGCAGGGCAGAGGGTGCTTCCCCATGTTCAGTCCTACAGTTCTAGTTTACTTTTTAAACTATAATAGTTATTCTTTTAAGTAAGAAGGTCAAGAGCAAGCATGTCAAACTCGCAGCCCATGGGCTGCCTGCCTCGTTTATTTGGCTCACGTTAGCCTTTGCGTTTGACATACTTGGTCAAGAGATTAGGCTCTTGATGAGAGAGGTTGTTTGATTTCAAAACTGAAGGCATGGAGATGAAAAATTCCACAGTGTGATCACAGTGACACACGGATGATATGGAGCAGACATAACAATTACCTTCACTGACCTTTAAATGTAACAGCTCTCCCCTTCCCATCACTCTTCTACGTTGTAACTTGAAGACCACTGTTTTGTCTTATTTTTCCCTCTTCTAGATAAGTTGTCCCTTACAGACAAATGAAAGTTTTTTAATTTGAAAATTACTCCTAAGGAAGATTGTTATCTTCTTACTGTTTCTAGCCTTAAAGATAGAAAGGTGCATAAACAAAGCTGAAGGCCTTGAAAAAATGTTCATGGTGGGGGAAGGATGGCACAGATGTTCCTGAGGCAAATGACGCAGAAGCATTCTATATATAAGCATGATCAAGAAGTCCCTGTATTTAGAATAAGCTTACAGCTATTGCCAGAACATGTGAGTGATACTAGTAAGCCGTAAGAACAAATTTCCATGACAACAGAAAGAATGATCCCGGATCATCATTCCGGAAAGGGAGCTAAGCCCGCTCCCACACAGAGATGACATATGTTAAGGGCTGGAATCCCTTTTGGACTTTGACAGCCACCCTTGGCTTTCATGGGTATCATTCTTCACTCTCCCGTTCGGCATAAACGCGCCTTCTCTTTGCCACGCATGCCAAACATCACTCCTTCAGTGCCAGCGTTAGAGCAGGTGGTGCCGTCTCCCTCTATGAAAAGGAAGCTGCCTCAGATGGAAAATAATGTGCCCATAGAAGAATTTGGACTGTACTAGATGCCTAAAGATCCAGCAAATTTCTTCCCCCTTTGTCAAAATAATTTCCGATGGGCCTTCATTTATTATACAATTGGAATAATCCAAAGAATGCTTCCAGGAGGTAAACAAACACTTGTCTTAGTGCTGAGGACATGCCAGGCACAGTGGTAGTTACTAAGGAGACAAATACAAAGACATCACAAGGAGGTCACATGACAGCCCAGAGACATCTCTACAGGCAGTCCTCAGGTTACGTCAGACTCCATGTATGTCGTTTCATGGTTATGTTGCCATCTCCGATTTATTTATTTTTTTAAAAAGTTCCGTCATTTCCGCATATGTGCTTCATGTTTTTTTATTATTTATTTACCACAAGAAAGGTGAGGAATTGCTATCTTTCTTTTAAATTTTTTTTACTGTTTCACTTCATTACTGCTGTGTATGTGTTCCATGTGAGTGACATAGGTGCACATAGCGAACTTATGGCGAAAATCACATTACATGGCACTGCGGAAATGGATCTCCGACGTAACCGGAGGACCTACTATATATATATATAAAAGTCTAAGCGACCAGCCGACTGGCCGGGACCTATGATGCACACTGACCACCAAGGAGCAGATGCTCAATGCAGGAGCCAAAACCACAGCCATGGATGGAAACATGGAAAAGATTGATGAATCTCAGAGGGAAGTGGGGAGGGTAGCAAGAGATTAACCAAAGATCTCTGCATACTAGAGGCCCAGTGCATGGGTTTGTGCACCAGTGGGGGTCCCTCAGCCTGGCTTGCAGGGATCAGGCCGAAACCAACCCTCCAACACCCCTCAAGGGGTCCCGGATTTCAAGAGGGTGCAGGCCAGGCCCAGGGACCCCACTGGCGCATGAATCCATGCACCGGGCCTCTAGTATGATTAATAAGGGAACACAATAGTGATTTGAGACAGGAGCAGAGTCTGTGGGGACCAGCGCCTAGGAGACAATTTCTATGGGACCAGTAGGTTCTGTAGGGTTTTCACACCCCACAAGTGTAACAGATTCCCACGGAGAGGAGTGCATGTGCCTTCTGTACAAGGATTCAGGCTATGGCTAACTGACCATCTGTCAGACATGCTGCAGATGGGGATTCCCCCCAAGTGAGAGGTTGGATTAAGTGTTCTTTCAAGTTCCTTTCGAGTCTAAAATCGTAATTCCATGAGGTCAGCAAAGGCTACATCGGTAATAGGAAGCTTCAGAGAGGAAGGGAAACTTGGAACTAAGCCCCAAATGATAGCTCCGTTCTAAATAAACAGAAGACAGAGCATAATATATTGGGTTGCATTCCTTTTCATTACAGGTATGTCAGGTCAGTCTGTGAAACAGCCCAATGGGGTCAATAATTAGCACAAACAGTAAGAATTCCACATCTACTTGACAACTGGGAAGTATTGTACTGGAACTCTGTATTTTACCAGAAAATACTGGGTAGCTAGCTCTTCTGAATCACATGTTTAAGAAACCATTTTCACAAAACCTTAACAATACCATTTAACATACGGACAGGCTTGCTGCATTAAGCCCCCAATAGTGGCACAAACACACCAATGAAATAGGAGCACGCCGCAATGTCCGGCCTGGGTGTGCACTGCTCTTTGATGAGGAATTAATCAGCCAGCCCTGAAACGGACATAACGTAGCTACACTTCTCCTCGGCTTAACCAACACGGTGATTTTCCACTTAACGCAATTATCTCCCTTCTTCCATCCCTCTTGCTGCCTTATGTCCTGCGCTCATTTTCCTTCCTCAGGCATTTTCCCTTTATCACACCAGGCAAACCCAGCAGCCTCAGTTAGCCAAGAACACGTTGAAAAGCCCAGAACAGAAATGACTTTCAAAGGTTCCCCAATATCCCCAATGCGTAGCCTTTGGGCAACAAGCAAGTCATTAAATTCATCAAAAAGTTAACTCGGTTGATATTCCAGTACCTCAACACAGTCATGGGCCACAGAATGTTTGGGTCAACTACTGACGGCACAGACCAGAGTGGTCCCCTAAGATTATAATCCCTGTTGCCTAGTGACGCGTTACTCGGGTGTTTGTGGAGATGCCGGTGTAAAGACCTACTGTGCCGCCAGCTGTATAAAAATACAGCACGTATAATCATGACCTGTACTATTACCCGATTATGATAACAAACAGCTACGATACTGGTTTACGTATTTACTGCAGTATACTTTTTATCGTTACTTTAGAGCATATTCTTTCTAATCATAAAAAAAAAATGTTTGCTGTAGATCAGTGTGCCAGGTTATACCTCATACATCTCACGTTTTTGTGTCTCTTAATTACACCGTTTTCTCTTGTGCTGGATTTAGTCCTGTGTTGTTTCATAAAGCAGCATACTGCACACGCTGGCAGCCTCGAAGCAATAGGCCATACCTTAGAGCAGTGTTTCCCAAACTTACATATATAAAATTGTATACTTAACTAGTATACAATCTAAGACAGAGCACTAAGTATACAATTTTACCTGTATGTTCCCCAAAATTCTAGCTTAGCACTTCTTAGTGGTAGTTTAACAACTCCACCAGGTGATTCTCATCATGAGAGAAGTTTGGGAAACTCTGCCTTAGAGCAAAGGTGTGCAGCAGGCCATGCCACACAGGTCTGTGGGAGGGCATTCTATGATGTTCACATGATAGGAAACCTAACAACACATGTATGTCTCAGAATGCATCCCCATCACTAAGTAGCACATGACTGTGTATTAAGCCAAAGGCTAGGATTCTCGCTGAGTGTTCTCAGCTAATCAGCATTGTGTTAAAGGTGGGAGAAAAATCAGGCTGGTTATTGATGTTCATACACAGGTGATGAAAATTTAGCTAAACGTAAAAAAAGGGAGTGTGTGCTGGGGAAGAACTGGAGGGATGTGCTAATAAGTGGGTTATGGCAACAGAGGGCCAGTCCAATTGCTTGGAAATAAGAGGTCACTCATGAATGTTGGTTAAACAGAACTGCTCTGCCGGAAACCAATCATTGTCTCACTAATAGAAAGATGTAAAAGGCTGGTCAACCCTGAAGCTCAGAAAGGTCAGAGCCAACCACTCCCTATCTAATGGAGACGGTGGTAACTAACTGAGGCAACTTCCCCATCTTGTAATCATGTAAATCCTTACTGAAATGATAATCCGCTTATCATCTGCCTGAGGGCTGTGGGTGTCTCCCAAACCTGCTTAAGGGTACTGGGTGTATCCCATAGCCTCAATAAAAGGGACAGCAAGCCCAGAGCCTGGTGGTAGTCTTCCCACTGAGGTGCACATTTTCCCAAATTAACCCTTTTCCAGAAACCGGGCCCTGAGTGGGCCCTGAACCACGCGGTCGTGTTAAGGGATCCCACAGTGCTCCGTGTTAGTTCCATCACCAGACTCGGTTATGAAGAAACTTCTGGCCGGATTCCCGATTTACCTCTTTCTCCGAGAGGTTCAGAGTGAGCAGGTGCAAGGTCCTGGTGTGGGATGACTTCCAGTCCACGGGCATCACGTTTCCGTAGTTATCGGTCAGGGCGTTCCAGATCCTTAAAAGGAAGAAAAAACTACAGTCAATGAAAGTTCGTATTCTATACATCTTTTACTAAATAAATATCCAGTACCACCGTGAAAGAAAACCAAAAAATATCAAAGGAAAAAAAGGCCCACTGTTTCTCAGAAAAACATCAACAAAGCAGAGCACCCTCAGTAGGACTAAATGAAAACCAGGTAATTGGCTGACAAGAAGTCCTGAGGGAAGGCGGAGTGAAATGGAAAACTCTCCCAGGCTGATAACTGACACTTTCCACGGTAACGTGTGCCAGGCACTATTCTACGCAACTTACACATTAACTCACTTCTCAACAGCGATGCTGCCCTGGCCTGTGTGGCTTAGTTGGTTGGAGCATCAGCCCCTGCACCAGAAGTTGTGGGTTCGATCCCCAGGCAGAGCACATGCAGGAGGCAACCAATCCGATGTTTTCCTCCCTCTCTCTCTCTCTCTCTCTCTCTCTCTCTCTCTCTCTCTCTCAAATCAATATTTTAAAAAGCCAGTATTATGAAGAACCATTATCCCCTCATTTCACCGACAAGGAAACTAAAGCACAGGGAAGTCAAGTCATTACAGCCTGATAGTAAATACACTCTGCTTTAATTTTCTATGGTTTCTAACAATATACAGGCCATTTCATAGAGTAAATAATCTCTCTAGTGGATCTGTTATCCCTTCTGGGGAAAAAGGATTCGGTTGTAATGTTAGATCAGGGTTTAATATCTGATTTCTAATATGAGAGACTAAGGACTAAAACTGGTAAAATGGAAGGGGAAAGAAAGGGAGCTCAAATGTAATACACACAGGTGCGGTGAGTGCAGGCACCCCACCTCCAGCAGCACGTGTGAGAGGCAACAGAGCACCCGACTACTATCCAGGAAAACACAGACTCTGGTCTCCATCTTCTTCCTCAGACGAGTCTTTGGCCATGTCCTCTAACCTCTCTGTGTTAGCCTCCCTTCTATAAAATGAGAGGCTTGAACAAGAAACAGACATCCCTTCCAGCTCAATTACTCTAAACATTCATTCAGGTGAGATGTACTGAGTCCCAAAGCACGCTAGATAAGGACAGCGAACTCCAATTTCACGACCAAAATGCAGGCTTCGGTACCCAGGTAATCGCCAGCATAATAAAACATGACCTTGTACGAAAAAACACTGACTTCAGAGATATAAATGACATGAAATTTAATTGAAGTGAAGTTAAACATTACATCTATGAGCTACTTGCCAGCTAGAGGTATGCACATACATGTCTTAAAGAAAGAAAAAAACACCCTAACATGTATAATGGGTATCTAACTGTGAATAAGCCAGGACATAATTAGGTGGGGGTTATTTACAAGTGTGTGAGCCATTAGGATACAAAAGCCAGACCATAAGAGGCCTAGAAATAAGAACACAAGCTTCAAAATAAAGCAGCAACATGCTTGATTTAATGCATTGGGATTTGGTGCTAAAGAGATGAAGCAATAGGACCACAACTGCCAAAACCGTAAAATCCCGACACGATGTTTTTGGCTTTGGAACTCCCATTAGCCTCATTGAAAATGTAAACCCAAAGGCTCGGGAAAACTGGCCCGTTTACCCAGCAAATCCCCCATATGCCTGGTTCACTCCTATTCCCCTCTCTGCTGGAATCATAATCTCCTCTCCTGCCAACACGCTCACACTGGAAGCAGCCCTTCTGGACTGTGAAATGTGCGGGGTTTGAGGCCGGGGCCTTCCTGGGTACGAGACTTTCAAATGCTGAATCACTGACTATATACCTAACCCTGGTCAGAAACCCCAGTAGGATATTCTAGAAGGTGAAAGAAGGCCAGGGTTTTGGGGAAACGGCTTGTTTGCCCCTTCCCATCCAGGAGGCTGTGACAAAAGGACAAGTGGACTGGATACTCACCTAGTGACAGTGCCTGCATCTGATCTGTCCAGAAGGGGCGGGACAATCAATAGTCCCCTATCTCCACCAAGGTCAGAGCACCAAGGTCAGAACAACTGTAGCTGGAAGGAAGTAGGGCCGGCCGACTGAAGTGTAAGATTTCTAGAATTCTCCAGTTAGGACAGGCCTTGCCTTCATCCTTATCGCCAAGTATTACGAGCAGTCATAAACGACTGACGAGACAGCTCTTTCCAAGGTCAAAGTCTCACTGACACCGAGTCCTACCAGAGACCCTTGGGGTGTAAAGCCTTAGCAGGTGAGTGCAATCCCTGTATTTAACCAAAACTGAAACTGGGACGCAGAAAAGTTCAACAACATGCCCGAAGATATTCAAGGCAGTGCCTGAGAGCAAGAATTCTCAGCTCTCTGGGGATAGGAGCATGAAATGGACTCTAACGAGCAATGCAAAGCAGATGTGTGCACTAGAAAGGGGATAATGAGAGCAACCAGCCCAGGCCCGGCAAAGAGAGAGATTCCTCACGCATTCCTAAGTCAAGCCACACACATTACCAACGTGTCATCCACCAAACACCGTTTTCAAGAGTAACGAAGATTGTTTTTACGTTTTACATCATCCTAAGATGTAAGCAAAGGCTAAAACTCACTACTTTCCAGACAGTACAAGTGAAACAAAAATAAGGAACTTTATCTGTGTAAAAACCGCCAATCCGTTTTTGAGAAGTTACTCTTGATAAACCCAAACTCATAATAAATCCAGGATATGTCCTGAGTCTAGTGATTCATACATATATAAATTATATTATATAGACAGGTATACATACACACTTAATACTATCTTCTTTTTGGGAACAGAATTTTTTAAATGTCATATATTGCCACTGAGGGCATATCTTTGGGTACAACATCTAATCATAAATTCCACCCCAAACACTGTACACAGGTAACATTAAAAGATATAATCTCCAGCCGAAACCGGTTTGGCTCAGTGGATAGCGCGTCGGTCTGCGGACTGAAAGGTCCCAGGTTCAATTCCAGTCAAGGGCATATACATTGGTTGCGGGCACATCCCCAGTGGGGGGTGTGCAAGAGGCAGCTGGTCGATGTTTCTCATCAACGTTTCTAGCTCTCTATCTCTCTCCCTTTCTCTCTGTAAAAAATCAATAAAATATATTTAAAAAAAAAAAAGATATAATCTCCAAATATAGCTGGACCCAAACCACGGGCTCAGTCATACTCACAGGCACCCATTCCCGCCCCCACCCCCACCCCCGTTCTCAAGCTTCCTACCTTATTGCTGACCATCTGCCTCAGAGAGCAAAGGAGATCGCCAAGCTAGAAGCGCCTTTCTAAGCCCGTGGAGCTGTATCCCCCGAGAATTCTTCCCTGAACTCTGCTCCCTCCCTCCCACCGATGTTCTGAAAACTCACCCACGGCCTCAGTTATTCCCTCCAGGATCTTCACCCACAGCCTCTCCGGGGGCACCTCTCCCTGACATTACCATTTGCTCAAGTTTTTTCACTCTCGCCACTTTTAACCCCTTTTGGTCTCGTCGTACATAATCCCAACCCTTACTGAACCAAAGTATCACTGGGATTCAAAGTGGCTAAACAGAGTGCCCCCAGGAACTCCATCCCTTCCTTCTCCCAGCTCTCCTAAAACCCTGTGGATCCCCCATCACTGCACTTACATAATTGGGAAATAATTACTTATTGATGTATTGGTCTTCCCCACCGGAATGGAAGATCCCAGCGACTCACAGCCACAGCTCTGCCTTTCGGCCTCTGGGGCCTGCGCCATAGCTGGCTGTCAGGTGGGCCCAATGCACGGCTGTGGCTTAAATGCCGCTTCAGCACCGCTACCTCTGCACGTGCTGCACCCTGGAGCGAGGAGCTAACCCTTCCTTCACCTGCGCCAAGCAAACTCCCATCCCACTCCATCAGGACCCAATTTTCCCTCTTCTTTCTCCATTACGTCTTTCCTGACTCCCCACCACACACACACACACACACACACACACACACACACAACTTTCAAATCTCCTAAGTCTTACACATCTACCCTTTAGTGCATCTGTCACGCCCAGACAAACACTGGTTTACAAATCCGGCTCCCAGCCTGGGTGGTGCCCTCCTGGGAGGGTAGGTGGGCCGGGTGCGCAGCAGCCTGGGCGTGTAACGGGCCCGGTAACTGCTGGCTGGCTGGCTGAATGAATGAATGAGTGGCTACACCTGTGCCCGAGCAGGCACTGCCTCTACCTAAAGCTCCACAGGAGAGTCCCTCTAACCCAAACCGGGGCTGGTTCCAGGGCAGGAGGCGGGGGTGGAAGGTGGGGAAGGAGGCGGCGGGGGTTAAGTCGCCGGCACCCAGGGCCCCAGGGCCCGGGGAGGGAGCCGGGGGCGCGGAGGGCGGGGCCTCGGGCGGAGGAGAGGAAGGAGGGCGCGGGGCGGGGCCTGCCGCCGGGGCGCCGCGGGCCGCGGGCCGGGCCGCGGGCTGGGGCAGAGGCCGGGGCCGGGGCAGGGAGGGCCGGGGCGGGGGCCGGGGCCGGGGCACTCACTCGTCGCCCTGCAGGAGGCTGCCCTCGGTGATGGGCCGCACGGCCGCCCGCGGGGGCTCGGCGCCCGGCCCCGCGGGGCGGAAGCACAGGCTCAGCTTCTCCTCCAGGCTGCGCGCCAGCGCCGGGAGGCCGCCGCCCGCCCCGCCCGGCCCGGGCCCGGCCTCGGCCTCGGCCTCGGCGCCCGCGGGACGGTGCTCCCGGCGCGGGGGGCTGCGGGCCGGCTCCTGGAACTCGTAGAATTCCTGCCAGTCGCCGTCCGCCGCCATCGCCGCCCGGTGCGGACGCGCGCCGCCCCGCCCCGTCCCGTCCCCGGGCCCCGCCCCGCCCGCTGGCCCCGCCCTCCGTGTCCGATGGTCACGCCCCTCCCGCCCGCTGGCCACGCCCCTCCCGCCCGCTGGCCCTCCCCTGCCTGGCGCGCAGGCTTGGGTCAGGCCTGGGCCGCTCAGCCTGGGGTCTGCCCTTTGCAGAACCTTTTTTTTTTTTTTTTTTAAAATACTCTGTTTTTATTAGAATGGTGATTGCATGACTGTATGCATTTGTCAAGATTCAGCAAACTGCACCCTTAAAAAGAGTGACTTTAAACCTGTATAAAATTACTGTTCTTCATAAATCTGAATTTAATACAGAATAACCTGGGATATTCAGAATAAGGGTAAGATATGCATGTATCAGGGCAGAGGTGCATGGAAAATCTCTGTACCTTCCCCTTAATCTTTTTTGAAATTTTTTTTTAGATTTAATTTTTTTATTTTTATTAAATTATTATATGTGTACATATCTTACCATTGCTCCCCTCCCTCACTCCCGTACATGCCCTCCCCCCCCCCCGAGCTTTGTGTCCATTGGTTGTACTTATATGCACGCATAAAGGTCCTTCGGTTGATCTCTTATCTCCCCCATATCTCCTTATCCTCCCCGCTGTAATTTGACAGTCTGCTTGTTGCTTTACTGTCTCTATATCTATCTTTTGGTTCATCAGTTTATAATGTTCTTTATTATCCATAAATGAGTGAGATCCTTTGCAGAATCTTTGTGGGATCGACCGTGGGTCCCTACAGAAAGGAAAACCTTAACTGCGTTAAGTCACTTGGTGTAGTCTCTATGCTTCAGAAATAGCTTCCCTCTAAGCTTCTCTTAGCGGGTACCCAGCCTAAAGGAGGCTAAAATAAAGAGCTTCTTTACACGTGCGACGTAGCCTTAGATGATGCACAGGTCCCTACCCCAGGGCAATCTGCTCCTTTTGTATCTTTCCAACCAGAATAACAGGCCGAGTCAGTTGAAAATGCTTAAGGGAAACTGAAATGCATTCCGCAAATACCTAAAGTCTCCCACGTGCAAAGCTCAAGCTAGACCCTCTGGAACATGCAAAAAAAATGAATAATAATGTAAGTTAATATTTGCAAAGCACTCAGAACAGTGCCTGCAGTAAGTACCATATCTGTAGGATACCTAAGAAATACACAGCCGCTCCTCACAAGAGGTGTACAATGTGGTTGTAGTGATAAGACCAAACGAAACCATTTATGTGAAATATTAATAAAAGGTGTGAATGGGAGTAGAGAGTTACTAATTAAGGGGCATATAGTTTTAAATTTTGCAAGGTGGAAAGAATTCTGGAGATGGATGGTTGCACAAAAACATGAATGTACTTAATATCCTGAGTTATATACTTGAAATGGTGGAGATGGTAATTTTATGTCACGTGTATATTGCCATAATAAAAGAAAATGGGGAGAAAAGGGAGTGTGATTATAAGGGAGTGTGAATATATAGAGGCAATCTATACCCAGGATTGTTATCAGGCAGGGTCTGCTGCCTGAAGCACACAGTAGCCAATACTATGGCAGTAGAGAAAAGAATGGAGCCTTATTTGTCGGTTGATTGCACGAAGACCAGAGGTAAGGCTCAGATCTGTCTGCTTGATCCAAGATTTGGGGTGGGGTTTTAACAGGTAGCACTCTAAGGGTTTACAAGAGTTTGTATCCAAGGTGTATTCGGTTCTGGGTCTGGTCAAACAGAATGGTTTGAGTTGGTCTGCAGCTAAAGGGGTTGATCGAAGTTATATCTTTGGACTGTAGTAATCACATACTTCATTTAAGAAGTGGGATGTAGTTGGATCATGAAAGACGAATTTATATTTTGAAAAATAAATCTGAGGTTAATAATATAAGATTTCGCCAAAACCGGTTTGGCTCAGTGGATAGAGCGTCGGTCTGCAAGACTGAAGGGTCCCGGGTTCGATTCCGATCAAGGGCATGTACATTGGTTGCAGGCACATCTCCAGTAGGGGGTGTGCAAGAGGCAGCTGATGGATGATTCTCTCTCATCAATGTTTCTAACTCTCTATCCCTCTCCCTTCCTCTCTGTAAAAAAATCAATAAAATATATATTTTTTAAACTATGATAAAAATAATAATAATAATAAGATTTCCTCAGTATGCTTTGTTCATGTCTTGAAAACCTATCCTCAGCAATACATGTTAATGCCAAAATTTCCTATTTACTATGCCAAAGGATGTTGTCTCTTCTCTCAATGATTTGTTCCATATTAAACAAAATACATCTATGACCTAGCCTAAGAAACGGTTGGTAATTATTTAAAGGCAACGTTGTTCCCTCTCTATTTTCATCAGCAGGTGTTGTGCTGTTACTTGGTCAGCAGCTAGAACTAATTACCCGGTGGTTAACAGCTTTGGGGTTGATGAAAAATATTCTAGCCTAACTGATATTCACCTACCTGAACATTGCTCAAAAGTGATCCTCTAAAAGTATCAAAGATCTATTTTTCTCTATGTATTTACATACACACACTTAGGAAACACTATGTGTGTGTAAATGACTCGGGTTCTCCTAATTAAGTACACAGCGAAAGCAAAATTGTGGGGTTTTTCCTTACTGGTAGCACCATTTGTCTGAGCGGTATGGAAATGAAAATTACTTACTCTTAGGACTCACATGTAACACGGTCAAATTTTTCATATGTTTACTAATACACGTAAATTGCTACTGGTTTAGCTTTAGTGGCTTCAGGATTTTAGTGAAAATTTCCACATAGAATGCTTTTTACTTTTAATTAAATTTCAATTATCTGATATCACCCCCAGACACTTTGAATATTCCATTGCAGCCCTGGCCAGGTGGCTCAGTTGGTTGGATCGTGTTCAGCATCCCAAAAGGCTTCAGGTTCAAGTCCCTGTCAGGGCACATACCTGAGTTGTAAGTTCGATCCTTGGTGGAGGCATGTACAGGAAGCAACCGATTGATGTTTCTCTCTCAGGTTCATGTTTGTGTCTCTCTCTCTTTCTCTCTCTCTCTCTCAAATCAATACAAACATATCTTGGGTGAGGATTTGTTTTTTTAATTATGCATACTCCATTGCAAAACACAAGATTTAAATCACTTTTCTTAGTCAATTTATTTTTGCACACCTATAGTAACCTTGGCGCTCAACACAACCTATCCAAATCCTCCAAAGGAAGATCCTATGAGGAAACTGATTATACTGCTTTGCAGGGACAGTGATGAGATTAGCAGGAAACTATGGTGTGAAACCAATTGTTAATTGGTGCTTCTGTAGATTTTAAATAATTACTGTAAACACGAAGGAGTAACAGGAGAAAACAGTTTAAGCTGTAGGATGCTTGTCACCAGGTAAATGATAACGTAGCAACATGTCCCTTCAATGCCTTCCCCACGCCTCTCCCCCCACGTGGTACCCGGAAACTGCAGGTTGCCTCACAGCTTCCAGGACAACCAGCAGTCGGCCATGTCCCACCCAGGCCATGGCCCCATTTCCGCATGCGCACCTTTCCCTTTAGCTCCTGGCACAAGTCCGACTGCTTTTTCAAGAGAATCCAGCTCCCACTTGCTATTCCCTGAAACCCTTCACTTCATATTTCCTGTCAGCACCCTTACCTGACTTTCCAGCAACTCTCCTTCCCATCACCAAAGTCTAGCTTCCTAACATCCCTGCCAATCTGGCAAAGCCACGGGCTTCCTGCCGGCCTGGCCTCACCTGCGTGGGCCAGTCCTTCAACACGCACTTCAGTATACCTCACACAGCCGATTCTACTCATTTGTCCGCCCAAGTCTATTCACTTCATACCTTTACTTCCCACCAACTCCTAGAGAAGAGATGAAAGAAGGTGTAAACATGTTTGCTTACTCATATATTTAGGAAAGTTAACCTATAGAATTAATTTTCAGCGCTTGGTTCAAAATTAGAAAAAGAATATAAATTACTTTTAAAGAGAGCTTCCTAGCCCTTGAACATTATGTTCATATTAACCATTTAGATGGGAAAAGTTCTCTTGTTTAACAATTATTTAAATTGTCCACATATATAGTATATCACAGTGACAGTTATGTAACCAAAAATGGAAAAGGTACATTATTCAGAATATAGATCACCTAAGGGTATAAAAATAATCAGAAAATACTAAAATTGAAAAAAAAAAAAAACTGAAAACAGGAACAGAAAAATATCTGTCAAAGTATCACATATAGTGATTGCGGAAAGCCTTATAAAGCAATACTAAGACAATGATGAGGCACAGGAGTGAACATTTCTTGAGAAAAGCTAAGCTAATAACTAATATTATTCAATAATTCAGGCTATACCAAGAGCTGATGAAACAAAAACAAAAAGAATCTAGAAATCCATGTGGTGATTCAAGAATTCAACGGTGGCTTGCTTGACAATAAAAGGGCTCTATCTTTCCATTTATCTCATTTCAAAAAAAAAAAAAAATCAAGAAACTAGCATAGTCAAAGATCACAACTTAGCTTTTATTTGTAAAGACTGGTGAATCCTAATTATGCGAGTTTGATGGGGATGAATCTTCATTTTAATAATCAGATAAGGGTCAGGATTAGGTTGGACCATCCTGAGCAGGAGCAGGGCCAGGCTACCTAGGGGCGTGGCCAGGTGACTGACTGGCCATGGCCTCACCCTGCCAAGCTGGGAGGGGAAGACACTGCCAAACATGGGTCTGGCTGCGTTCCAGGTATCAAATGCTGGTCTCAGAAAAATGAACGGAAACAACTTTCAGCAGGAGTCACTTACCTAACGTTATGACAGCTCTCACTGAGACCTTCAAGGATGCTGTCATGGAGAGCAGCAGTGAACACTCTGAACAGCCTAAATTCCTGCCTTGGCATATTCTTAATTTTCTCATCTGAAATTAAGAGCGTGCTGAATTGAATACACCAAATTTTACCTATTATTTTCCTTTTTGCAGACTTTCAGTGTCCTATGTGCCAAGGC